TAATGCCATCATGCAGATTGAGGTTGTGTTGTACAGAAAACGTGCTCAATTAGCTTGTGAAAGCCAAGATCAAAGAATGTTAGCTTTTAAATCGAAGTCATTGATCAAAGACTACTTCCATCCAATAAGATTGAAGCTGGTGAAGCCAGAGAGTGAGGAGAGTATATATATCTCCAGATAGAAGGTGAGCACATCTCACGCTTTGAGTCTGTTGATACATAGTTACACGAGAACCTATTAGCAAGTGAACTGTGCTCAAATACAGGATGGCTGACTTTGTAACTCCTGTTGATGGTGCCTTTGACGTCAGTTCCGGTATCGGTAAGTCCTTCCAGATAGTAATCTAGCATCCATTTGTAAGTGTGATCTCTCCATCGCAAATGCTTCAAATTCCCAGTGCCCTTGGCAAATCCATATCGTACCATTGATTACCTTGAATATTCATTTACAGAATACGTTATTTTCTTTATTGTAGGAGCTCCTCAGCACACATCAACTCCTCTCCCCAAGAGACGTGCAGTGCCATCCCTGACAATACCAGTGCCTGACACAAACCATCATGTGCCAACTCTCTCCAGCCTCCACCCGATGTCATCCCCGTCCTACCTCCACCCAACATGCATCTCCAGTCCCTACAGCTTCTTCCCTTCCTATTCTGCCATGTACTACTCTCCCAGCTTCGGACCAGGTACCTGCACAGCTCCCAGCTATCCGCTACTACCGAGTCCATCATTCCTGCCACCAAGTCCATCCTACCTTTCATCCCACCCGTTGGGGTATTCGACTGTACCAGGGAGTCCATCCTTCCTACCGGGTACGATTCCAAGCTCAAGTCTGCCCATCAAACCAGTATCGATTCCAACCACCAGTGCTCTGACTACACCAACGCAGGGGCATTCAAAGTCTGTGGACATCAGCCCAGTCACAGAGACACGCCCGATTGACTTCGAATTGCCGTCTTGTTCCAGGCCCGATATTGGTAAAGCTGTTGATGACATCGTAGCGAAAACCCTTGGGGCAGATCTGGCAACAAAGAGTACCAACAACGACCGCCAGTCAGCTCTTGAGAAGAGACTCCAGTCACTCAAGTCAAGGTTCCCAACAGAGGTAAAGGAACTATCCAGCTTCCTTGCCTTCCATTCCTCATCTATTCAGAAGGAACATCAACAGTGTCTACAAGATGGATTCTTCCCAACGGACTATCACAATTGGTTGACCACAAGATACAATGATCAACTGCACCTGGTGTTCACAAGCATCGAGAAAAGTGTGACCACCCTCGAGAACCAAGGCAAGATACTGGCCCGTCCTGCCAGCAGAAACCTCAGTCCTGAATCAGTCGTCTTGATGGAGAAGTGGTACCATGAACATCTCAACAACCCCTACCCCACTCAAACAGAAGCTGAAGACATGGCCAACAAGGGGGGCAATTACCCTTTCTCAAGTACGAAAGTGGTTTTCCAACAAAAGACACAGGACCAGGAAACCCAGATCTGTCAAAGCTGTAGTTGCTGCCAAACAGTGTGAAGAGTTCCTGTCTGGGATATTTCAGATGTAAAATGGGAACAGTTCTGTCACCTGAGTGATGCTAACGCGTTTAAGTAGTTGTGAAAGTGATATCAACTATGAATGTCTGTCCGAAGACAAAATTCCTTCATGCATAGTGCTATATTCATCTTAGGATCTGTGATATCCATTGTTTTGTATATATGAATGTAAATTATGACCCGTGCTATCCATGGTTTTGTGGATGTGAATTGTTGCTTTGATCTGAAATAAAATATTGTAATAAACTATCATTCAAATGCCCGTCTTTTTTAGCACGCACAGACTCTGTATTAACTCATCCTAAACATTAGCACAGAAGCGACTTCCTCACCAACATACACTCAATACAACTATCACACATTCCACATTACCATGAAACACCGAACACACTCAACATCCCTGTTTACACAACCAACATAATGTAATATTATTATCACAACGGGATCAGTCAGTGTTACTTCCACACATTCATGTACAAAGTATTCAACATGCCATATTAACTATTACATCAAATATATCACGCATTTAATAGTATTGTCAAAGTGCGATGGAGTGCACTTCACATTTAACTAGATCATTTTTATCTTTTTCACCAAGCATCGTCTCTAACATTATACTATAGTGTGCTCACACAAATTAAACGTTCATGACAACAATGCCACGTAACACTAAAAATGTATGCACAGTCTGGCCTGAAGGCTGCATTAGCAACACATATTTTGGCAAACTTAACCAGCCCCTTTTCTCGTTACAGAACGCTGAACACAACAGTCCCAGTTCCGTACCAGTTGTCACCTACTTGTAAATATCTGTGCACGCCGTCGGTAATTCGCATCCTACCCTTAAACTATTTCACAACCACATCCACCCTAAAATAACATCTCAAGCCACAAGAAGACCACACCCGTGAAGATCGGGCTTAGAACTGGTGTATATCCAATCGTTCTTGTCGTTAGAGGCGACTAACGGGATCGGGTGGTCAGGCTCGCTGACTTGGTTGGCACATGTCATCCTCTCCCAATAGCGTAGATCGATGCTCATGATGTCGATCACTGGGTTTTCTGGTTCACACTCCATTATTTACATATAGCTGGAAATTTAACAACAACGAAACCAAACAAACACAAGAAGATCAGCATTGTATGTGATGATCATTATACCCTGCCGAGGCCTAGTTGGATTATTGTAACAGTTGCTGAGAGGGGAATATTACCGTCACTGTCTATAAATCCATAATCACTGCTTTTGTATTATGATGTTACTTTTGATTTTGTGATGCCACATTGATATGTTTCTGGAGATTTGTATTGATTTGTAAAAACAGTTAATTTTAGAATATTAATTACATCACATTTCTTGGTTGTTGTCCTTTTGGTTTCACACTTAGTTATTTTACCAAGTAATTGCTGGTTAATTTTTTGTTTCAAATTTGGAATGAAGAATATAGGTAGATATCTCTCTTCAAAGCATCAGGACCATTTAATTTCAACAAATATATTCTCTCCAAAATACGAAAATAGATTGGTAGGCATGTTTATATCACGTCGACTGCTGAATACAACAAAATTCCACATGGCAAGCTAGATATGTAGGAGTGTAAATTACTCAATCCATTTACCTAATTGAAAATCTGCCATTTCCTTTAATTTGATATGAACTTTGGAAAGGATTTCAATCTCGTGACTCCTGTTTCGTTTGAATGTTAGGTCATGCAAACTGGACAAATCAATGCTAGATTCCATCAGTTTATTTAACGACGCAAAAGCACAAATGGTACAATTTCAAAACATGTTAAATAAACAACAAATAATAACAGGGATGGCACAATCCGATGCACTCATGTATGGGACAACAAACTGTCAAAGACTGACATCACAAACTGCAAATAACAAACATCCCTTTGGAAGAGACTTGGCACATTTTAGCAACGTTCGGGGAGATGAGTCAATATAGGCAGAGCCATGGTGCGGGTCTTGTTGGCTTGAGAGTGCTGGGTATCTCTGGACCAATGGAGTGGAGGTGTGCCGGGGAGTTCCTGAAACAAGAAAGGCGGTGTTAGAACATTCAGAGCGTTGTAGGATATTGTTAATGAAAGAATTTAGAATTACCACAACGTTTGTTACTTAATTAACCTGCAAATGTACTTCGTTTCTACCCAGCTTACCTAACGACAGAAGATTTCCCGGGCCCAGCAAGATGTTTCCTGGTGAAGATTGGGAGGTAGCAGTAGCAGCCTCACGGCATGGATGAGTATAGCAGGCCATTTGTACTTGCAGAATCGCAGATGGATGTAAAACAGACCCCTTGTTAATGGTTCTGGGTAGCAGGAGACTCAACGAGTGAGATGTGCTCAGTTCAATCAGTAGAGCTTTATATGCTACTCAGGTGTTTGGTATGATCACGTTTGATTTATTGGCTGGAGATTCTCCTTAATCACTGGCTTTTATTTTCATTCTTTGATCTGTGGTTTCACTGGCTAGTGCTTTCAAGTGTTCTACAAACAGTACCAATAGACTGTTCTTCTCCACACCTCTTGATAGGTGGACGCTTTGATAACATTCAAGAATGACCGGGATGTTTTTATAATTGAGCCTCTCAAGTGAAGGCGGATTAACGGTGTTGTTTTAATGAACCATAGGTTAAAATGCATAATCTTCACCTGAAGCTGCTGATACCATTTAGGTAGGTATATCACATCATATGTTTTGCTACTACTCAAGTCCATAAGTAGCTTAATTCTATATGACAAAGTAACTACATGTATGTAAGAACCTTTCAAATCTGAAAGAAATGGGAAACTAACTGGTAAATGTATCAGCTTGTATTGCGGCAGAAGCAAATCAAATCGATCATTCTAAAATTTGGAAAAGACAATGGAGAAAACCCATTCAACAGATCAGTTTCCAGCAGAGAAAATCAAAGACAAATAAATCAATCGGAAAAGCCAGTCAATCGATTATGGTTGATTAACGCTATCAAACACTAGCCAGTGAGGCCAGAGATGAAAGAGACCGTAACCAATCAAACACAAAGCGAGGTCCGTATTAAAGAAGCCAGAGATCACCGAGAAACCTGAAACAACCTATCAATCACTTGTGATCGTACAAGGCCACACTATCAAAACTTGATCATCTTGTGTCATCACTGAATGTTGCCAAAGCACGGACCAATCAAAAGGCCAAACCTAATGCCATCATGCAGATTGAGGTTGTGTTGTACAGAAAACGTGCTTAATTAGCTTGTGAAAGCCAACATCGAAGAATGTTGAACTTTTAAATAGAAGGTATTGATCAAAAACTACTTCCATCCAATAAGATTGAAGCTGGTGAAGCCAGAGAGTGAGAAGAGTATATATATCTCCAGATAGAAGGTGAGCACATCTCACGCTTTGAGTCTGATGATACATAGTTACACTAAAACCTATTAGCAAGTGAACTGTGCTCAAATACAGGATGGCTGACTTTGTAACTCCTGTTGATGATGCCTTTGACGTCAGTTCCGGTATCGGTAAGTCCTTCCAGATAGTAATCTAGCACCCATTTGTAACTGTGTAAATGCTTCAAATTCACAGTGCCTTTGGTAAATCAATAACCGTATTCGTACCATTGATTACCTTGAACGTTCATTTACAGAATACGTTATTTTCTTTATTGTAGGAGCTCCTCAGCACACATCAACTCCTCTCCCCAAGAGACGTGCAGTGCCATCCCTGACAATACCAGTGCCTGACACAAACCATCATGTGCCAACTCTCTCCAGCCTCCACCCGATGTCATCCCCGTCCTACCTCCACCCAACATGCATCTCCAGTCCCTACAGCTTCTTCCCTTCCTATTCTGCCACGTACTACACTCCTAGCTTCGGACCAGGTACCTGCACAGCTCCCAGCTATCCGCTACTACCGAGTCCATCATTCCTGCCACCAAGTCCATCCTACCTTTCATCCCACCCGTTGGGGTGTTCGACTGTACCAGGGAGTCCATCCTTCCTACCGGGGACGATTTCAAGTCCATCAAGCTCAAGTCTGTCCATCAAACCAGAATCGATTCCAACCACCAGTGCTCTAACTACACCAACGCAGGGGCATTCAAAGTCTGTGGACATCAGCCCAGTCACAGAGACACGCCCGATTGACTTCAAATTGCCGTCTTGTTCCAGGCCCGATATTGGTAAAGCTGTTGATGACATCGTAGCGAAAACCCTTGGGGCAGATCTGGCAACAAAGAGTACCAACAACGACCGCCAGTCAGCTCTTGAGAAGAGACTCCAGTCACTCAAGTCAAGGTTCCCAACAGAGGTAAAGGAACTATCCAGCTTCCTTGCCTTCCATTCCTCATCTATTCAGAAGGAACATCAACAGTGTCTACAAGATGGATTCTTCCCAACGGACTATCACAATTGGCTGACCACAAGATACAATGATCAACTGCACCTGGTGTTCACAAGCATCGAGAAAAGTGTGACCACCCTCGAGAACCAAGGCAAGATACTGGCCCGTCCTGCCAGCAGAAACCTCAGTCCTGAATCAATCGTCTTGATGGAGAAGTGGTACCATGAACATCTCAACAACCCCTACCCCACTCAAACAGAAGCTGAAGACATGGCCAACAAGGGGGCAATTACCCTTTCTCAAGTACGAAAGTGGTTTTCCAACAAAAGACACAGGACCAGGAATCCCAGATCTGTCAAAGCTGTAGTTGCTGCCAAACAGTGTGAAGAGTTCCTGTCTGGGATATTTCAGATGTAAAATGGGACCAGTTCTGTCACCTGAGTGATGCTAACGCGTTTAAGTAGTTTTGAAAGTGATATCAACTATGAATGTCTGTCCGTAGACTAAAGTCCTTCATGCATAGTGCTATATTCATCTTAGGATCTGTGATATCCATTGTTTTGTATATATGAATGTAAATTATGACCCGTGCTATCCATTGTTTTGTGGATGTCAGTTGTTGCTTTGATCTGAAATAAAATATTGTAATAAACTATCATTCAAATGCCCGTCGTTTTTTTAGCACGCACAGACTCTGTATTAACTCATCCTAAACATTAGCACAGAAGCGACTTCCTCACCAACATACACTCAATACAACTATCACACATTCCACATTACCATGAAACACCGAACACACTCAACATCCCTGTTTACACAACCAACATAATGTAATATTATTATCACAACGGGATCAGTCAGTGTTACTTCCACACATTCATGTACAAAGTATTCAACATGCCATATTAACTATTACATCAAATATATCACGCATTTAATAGTATTGTCAAAGTGCGATGGAGTGCACTTCACATTTAACTAGATCATTTTTATCTGTTTCACCAAGCATCGTCTCTAACATTATACTATAGTGTGCTCACACAAATTAAACGTTCATGACAACAATGCCACGTAACACTAAAAATGTATGCACAGTCTGGCCTGAAGGCTGCATTAGCAACACATATTTTGGCAAACTTAACCTGATCCTTTTCTCGTTACAGAAAACTGATCACACCCAGTTCCGTACCAATTGTCACCTACTTGAAAATATCTGTATTTACAAATATCTGGAATTTTCACAACAACGAAACCACACAAACACAAGAAGTTCAGCATTGTATGTGATGATCATTATACCCTGCCGAGGCCTAGTCCGATTATTGTAACTGTTGCTGAGAGGGGAATATTACCGTCACTGTCTATAAGTCAATAATCACTGCTTTTGTATTATGATGTTACTTTTGATTTGTATTGCCACATTGATATGTTTCTGGAGATTTGTATTGATTTGTAAAAACAGTTAATTATAGAATATTAATTACATCACATTTCATGGTTGTTGCCCTTTTGGTTTCACACCTATTTGTTTTACCTTCTAATTGCTTGTTAATGTTTAGTTTCAACTTTGGTATGAACAATATAGGTAGATATCTGTCTTCAAAGCATCAGGACCATTTGTTTTCAACAAATATATTCTCTCCAAAATAGTTTGGTAGGCATGTTTATATCACGTCGACTGTTGAATACAACAAAATTCTACATGGCAAGCTAGATATGTATGAGTGTAAATTACTCAATCCATTTACTTAATTGAAAATCTGCCATTTCCTTTAAATTGATATGAACTTTGGAAAGGATTTCAATCTCGTGACTCCTGTTTCGTTTGAATGTTAGGTCATGCAAACTGGACAAATCAATGCTAGGATTCCATCAGTTTATTTAACGACACAAAAGCACAAATGGTACAATTTCAAAACATGTTAAATAAACAACAAATAATAACAGGGATGGCACAATCCGATGCATTCATGTATGTGACAACAAACTGACAAAGACTGACATCACAAACTGCAAATAACAAACATCGCTTTGGAAGAGACATGGCACATTTTAGCAGCGTTCGGGGAGATGTATTACAGAAAATACCAGATTACTTTATGATTTAATGAATCATTGTAAAGTTAATAAGATATCTGGCCTATTAGTCACCGTTGACTTCGAGAAAGCGTTTGATACCATTGAATGGGATTCAACTACTTTATGGTTTTCACAGTAAGTGCTTTGTTTCCGTTCATATTAAGTCTTATCTGAGTATAGTTACCACAAGTTAAAAAATAATGTAGACATGAAAATAGTCATGCTCATGAAAAAGGGTGAAATTTTAGTCTGTCATACAGACCCTGAAACAAACATATCGAAGAAAGCCCATGCAGGTCTAGATTATGTGACAAGTCTATAGATTTCCACAGTTTGAAGAAATCCTCAGGGCTCCTTTTCATTATATTTTATATTTGTATATTATGAACTGTGTTTTTCCGTAAAATATGTTCATTTCAGAGACTAGTTGTTAGTCTACTATTCAGAGGTCACCAGCACCTGTGTGTCCCTGTATCGTCAAGCAGCCACCATCAGCTGTTCTCCGGTCGATGACACTCGCCCCAGCACGTGACTATCACGATTACTGTATACACGACCCAGTGTTTTAAAGACAACCATGTCAAGCGGTATGTCTGATCGATAGACTACGTTGTCAAGTGCGCCCTGTGTTCAGGGCAGGTAGGAGCGTGATATTATATGGGTGAGAGGTAGCAGGTTTCAACCAAACACGTGTAATGCTCGTGTTTCACTTACACTGTTGATGTAGGAAAGAGAGGGTATTGATTTAAACATATTTTTATTCATGAAGATGAATTGGAATTGGTGAACAAGCATTACTGCTTATATTAACACCGCTCCCATGCAACATATAATACAATATGAAAATGGAGGATTTGACGTCATCGATACTGACTTTTGCATAAACATAATATTTTTAAAATGTATAAATATATACAGATTACATGAAATACAACTATTCTCTAAGTAGTCATAAGTTAGAGAGTTACAGTTGTGTGTGTCTCACAAGCCATTGTAGAAATATAAATCAATCATGAGAAGGTTGTTGAGAAAATGTATTTATTTTCCTGAGAAAATTTAAAGCGTTGTGTCTTGGTTATACATGTATAATCGTGGACGGATTCAACTATTTTCTGGTTTACACGGGGAGTAAGTTCTTTGTTTCCCTTAAGAATGGTATCCAGGTTATAACCGGTAGTGTAAAAATACATATTAAGTCTTATCCGAGTATAGTTACGGCAAGTGAGGAAATAGTGTAGGGCGTTTTCACTCTGATGTCCACAAGAACAACAAGGGCTGTCTATTAAATGTCTGTTATACTTATCGGCGTTTAGGTCGCTACATCCGAGCCTGAGGCGGCAGTGAACGATTTGGCAAAAACGAGTGCCATGATTAAGGTATTCGTTGGCCTATCCACAAGACTGAGTGAGTGAGTTGGGTTTTACGACGCTTTTAGCAATATTCCAGCAATATCACATCGGGGAACACCAGAAATGGGCTTCACACATTGTACCCATGTGGGGAATCCAACCCGGGTCTTCGGCGTGACGAGCGAACGCCTTAACCACTAGGCTACCCCGCCACCCCGTCATAAGACTGACTGACTGAGTGTGGTTTTCCGCCGCTTTTAGCAATATTCCAGCAACATCACTGCGGGGGACACCACAAATGGGCTTCACACATTGTGCCCATGTGGGGATTCGAACCCGGGTCTTCGGCGTGACGAGCCAACGCTTTAACCACAAGGCTACCCCACCGCCCCCTCACAAGAGGGTTTAGTGCTGACACAATAGTGTTCCCACGCGAAAATATCAGTAAGTGGAATTTTAGGAAACTTTCAAAAACAGTAATGTTAGCAAGTTTTAGCAACATTCTATGGTGTCCCAGAAAGGACATTGTCGCGTTGCCGGTTACAGTCCGCGAGGCCTAAAATTCACACCTAATAAATCCCACAAGGCCTAATTACAGCAGTTTGCCCACATGACATAATTAATGAGGTATTTGGGGCGTGAAACAAGAGTGGGAGAGGTCACTGATCAGTGGACGGGGGTCACTCTGTTAGGGTTAGTTTAGTAATGAGACTTGTCTACTGTGAAAACATTAAGGTTGGATAGATGAAAGCACTTACTGTTAATCTTAATAAGATTAGATCTATTATTACTGGAGGAGTATTTACATGAAGTGGATATTAATCAGTTTCCTTCTCCAACTAACATGAGAAGGACGAAACTTGCTATAGATTAGACATACATGTATTTGACTTTGTGAAGCTGATCAAGCGTGAGCAGTCCAGGACCGAAGTGAGACTGGCACAGTAGAGAGGTCACCCACGTGAACCAGCAAGGAGACGTCGCTATGTAGCAGATGACCAGGGCTTGCTGCGAGCCAAGACCAGGCTAAACACTGGCACCATCGCTGTCCTGGAGTACACAGACTAAGTATCCCACTTACTTGGTGTTTGGGAACAGTGAATAACAATACACATAAACAATATCACTTTGTCACCTGTGATAATATGCTAAATGATACAGATTTTGTTGTGATAACATAATACAAGATAATATGTTGTTAAAAAAACAATGATAAAGTGGCAAAATTAACCAAAGTGCGGCAATGCGATAAAGCGACATTTTTGTCATTGGTCGCTATGTACTTATGTCAGTTATCTGGGACGTATTGTGTTTTACGCAGCCTGTTTTTATCAGCAACATCACGGTTCATTGTCGTAAGTGGAACTCGACGCCTGTGACAGATATGAAACCCAAAACAATTTTGTGCTTTTTCAGTTCAAAGTGTGACGTCACACCTTCTGTTTAGGCACGATTCATTTCTCAAAGCAAAACACTGACATAATGTTATGAGTGGCAATTGAGAGAGAAAAGGCACTTGGTTTTTTTTTTGTTTATTAAAAATGACACTTGCCTCATTGATTGGATTAGAAGCCGATGTTTGTCAAAAGCTAAAATAAAATGTAAATGTCTATGACGTATGAAGCCAACAATAAACACAGTGGGTTTTCATTGGAAAGAAGCCTTTCCTGGTCGGCTAATAAGCCTCCTACCACGGTGCGTTCATTGAAGCAGAGGGGAGATGGGGTAGGCTAGTGGTTAAAGCATTCGCTCGTCACCCCGAGCACATCGGTACAATGTGTGAGGGTAAACCTAACTTCACTGTCTCTTTGGAGCAGAAACTTCTCGCACGGAATAGGCTACGGATATTGGCTGTTCTTTGCAAACAATGTTTCAGAAAGGCCGACGTCCTGGCGAGTTTAAGGCAAAACCAAAGATAACAATATTATTGAGAATTTAAGATTTTGAATACATGGTCAAGTGATCGAAACAATAACGTATAACAGTTACGGCGACGAATGTCTTGGAAAATAATCATCGCTAGTCCACATTCCAGTTGATGTCAGGACATACAAATATAAGAGTAAATGAGTTTAGTTTTACGCCACACTCAGCAATATATATAATATTCCAGCTATATGACGGCAGTCTGTAAATAATCGATTTGGACCAGACACTCCAGTGATCAACAGCATGAGTATCGATCTACGCATTTGGGACACGATGACATGTGTCAACCAAGTCAGCGAGCCTGACAACCCGATCCCGTTAGTCGCCTCTAACGACAAGAACGAGTAGATAAAGATCAGTTCTAAGCCGGATCTTCACGGGTGTGGTCTTCTGATCCCGTTAGTCGCCTTTTACGACAAGCATGGGTTACACTGAAGATCAATTCTAGCCCGGATCTTAACGGGTTACAAATATTAGACGGATTTCATGATTGACTCGAGTTATATCCTGAGGTGTTGGTGTTCCCGGGTCTCTTAGATCCAAGGCACTTCATTTGTGAAGCAAGAAAGGACCAAAGTGGAGATTTGAATACAGACTTGACAGATTGAATGTCACCGATGGCGTGAGTCGCCGTCCTTCAGATTGCGACGGTCCTAGGTAAATATCACTCGGGAGTGTCAGGTAAACGTCCTGGAGAATTAATAATATAGCAGTACGCGACTGCGTGCCCCAGACTCGATAATCTACGAGCCGTCTTGTACCGTAAGGATCCGGTTATAACAGGCCTTCGGAAACCCATGCATTTCGTAAGAGGCGACTAACGGGATCGTGTGGTCAGGCAAGCTGACTTGGTTGATGCATGACGTAGTATCCCAATTGCGTAGATCGATGTTCAGGATTTCAATTGCATGATTGTCTGGTCCAGGCTCGAATGTTTTTACAGTCTCTCAGTCTAAGTGACAAAGTCGGTTAACAAATGGACTCTGGTAAAATGGAAATATATTCATAGATACGTTTCACTTGCAAATGTGGTATATAGTAGTCCTGACCCGTGGTGATCCGGGTTAGAATTGATCTTCAATAACCCATGCTGGTCGTAAGAGGCGACTAACGGGATCGGGTGGTCAGGCTCGCTGGTTGACACATGTCATCGTATCCCAATTGCGTAGATGGATACTCATGCTGTTGATCACTGTATTGTCTGGTCCAGACTCGATTATTTATAAACCGCCGCCATACAGCTGGCATGTTTCTGAGTGCGGCATAAAACCAAACTCACTCACTCACATTGTTGTCCTAGAGGTCTAATGCACCAAAAGACGCAGTTCAGAATTGTGTTTCCTGATCATGGGTTTTGCTGATCATGGGTTTCTTGTTTGATCTCTATATGTGTGATATCCCACCCGTATTTAACACACATCATTTTCATCTTTAGATTGGTCATGAAGTTAACCGACTGCATGTTGGTTCACAGGCAAACTGTAGCGCAAATAGGAAGGACGACTGATCATTTTTCTTTGTTGCGCAACCCTATTTGCGCTACAGTTTGCCTGTGGTTGGTTACAGCCATCAGTGCATCATAAAGTCTTATCTGTTTAGTTGTGTAGCCTAATGGTTAAAGCCTTCGCTCGTCACGCGAAGGGTTCGATTCCCCAGATGGGTGTAATGAGTGAAGCCCATTTCCATTTCTACTGTCCCCCGCCTTGATATTGCTGGAATATTGCTATTACAGGGTGTAAACCTATGTTCACTTATTAAATTTTTACCAACCAACACCCCAGCAGAGACCATATAAAAGATTATTATATGGTCTCTGACCCCAGCAAGCGTACAAAGCTTATACAGCTCAATATTCACAACAAATTGTTTCCATATAACAAGTGATATTGCGTTTCCATAAATCCCTTTCGATGTTTTCAATAGAAAGTAATGAATTCTTATTGTGACTTTATGTTTATAACCTATGCTTAGGTCTGTGTTATTTCGTTCTCCCTTTATTTTCGGGGCGATTTGTTCATACCAAGGGACATAAATCTACATTGTCATTGTATTTCCATTGTCTCCCTTTAACCTCTCCCGCTTTTAGGGAGGTCTCATTATGTAGTATTACTGTTATACGGTCCATAATATCATGTTCTCTTTTGGATACACAAGTCATCATATACTGTCTCAGAGTTATAGTTTACTTCAATATTAAGATAAAAATATTATAGTGTGATACATGTACGTTGAAATGACTACATTAAACAGTTATTGATATTTCGGTTAACCGACTGGTCAATGAATGGAAGATGGCGTCCGGGTCGATTGAGATCCCCTTGCGGGATACGGACGAGGTTCGTGTGACTTTAACATCGATAATTTCGGATAGATAAGTTTATTTTAAGCTTGATGAATGATTTGAGTTTCATATATTTTATTTTCTAAGAGGTAACTCAATATCACTTATATTTCAGGATGATTCGCTTACGGGCATGTGCGTGAAATTTCGTTAGTCAACATGTGCGGAGTTAGCAATAATACCCGACTTGTTTTTGTTTTGAAACTTTTTTTCCAAGCTGATGTTACATGACTGTCAGTGTATAGAGCATCCCTTGTGAAGCAGTATCGTTATTTCAAAGTGTCAAATTAAACTTTGTTCTGATCCAGCCTTGGTGTACACTTTCACTCCGTAGTTTTGTGTCTTGTATCATCCATATTGCGACTTCAGGCTGCTCTGTACCCTACATATGATACATCCGCCACTAGATTTATTTAATATGGGAATTGAGAGGTGTAAAATGTTTGATATATTTCCCCAACGTATTCTATGAACTTTCTAGGCTTTGTTGGTTGCACTTTTGCATGGCAGAAACATATTTTTGCATGTTTGTCTTGATCATGCAAAATATTTGATGACATGAAAATTAGACTATTCAGTGCTCCTCTGTACGTATGTGTTCATTGCAACATTTATGATTGCAGTTGATTATTGATCAATTGCTGAGCTCTGATTATCGATTTGCATATTATGAGAGATAACCAGCACTAATTGTGACCAAGGAAATCAAATTGTACTCAAACAGCATTCTTTTCTTGGATGTGAATGATTTTCCATGCTGACATTTATTCCTGTTTAGCATGTTTGAATAGGATTATTGTTCTTGTTTGGAAACCTTATAATCACTGTTTATTATGATCATGTATTGATGTCCTCATATATTTTGTATCATATCGATGGCCACTCATCAGAGTTGTGTTGTATCATTGCACCAATATTTCTTTTCATGGTAATACTTCCATAATTTCAGGTAATTGAATTGGACCTGGACCAACTACCTGAAGGAGATGAGGTTCTCAGTATTCTCCGCCAGGAAATGGCACCACTTCATCTCTGGGTCACATTGGCTGTAAGTAAAGTGTTTTCATTCCCGTCTGACAGAATCATTTCTTTGGAATAGTGTGAATATTCCCATGATCAGGGTGTTAACACTGACAAAAATCATAAACAGATTCGCTTGATCATGATGATTAGGTTCATTGCCAGTCCACAAGCCAACATTGTATAAAAGTAAATAAGATTTTATATTGTAAAAGCATTTTTGAAAGGAAGTACAGATTTTAGTGACAGTTTTGAAATTGTTTCAGACACCTAAAATGTATTTGTCTAGTTCCTATAACTAATATAAAACACAAAACAGTGGTAGGATTGTTTCCTTTTTCTAAATATTATCTATCATGTCATTACCTGTTGAGATAAACCGAATACGAAATTCAGTGGTTGTGGTACCTATCCTTATAACTGCAAAACCTGTAAAATGATTGTAACTAGGAAGCATTCTTTTTCAGCTGGAATACTACAAACAGGCATATGTTGAGGATTTTGTCAAGATTTTGGAGGCTTCACGTACAGATGCCAGCCTTGACTACCACAACTTTGAGCGTGACCAGATGCGAGCACTTGACACCCTTGCTGCGTATTACGTACAGATGGCCCATAGAGAGAAAAACAAGGATGACAAGAGAGAACTGTTCACCAAAGCCACTCTCTTGTACACAACAGCTGATAAAATCATTATGTACGATCAGGTATGTTCTAAACAAAACACTCTTGAGACAATCGTGGTTTATGTATTGGCATTATCTGTTTTTTGTTGAAATTAGTTTTTGAGATAATATAATCACAATTAAGGAAGCCTTCTGATAATTCTGTACGTGACTCTGAATTCTGAGTTATACTGTAAGTCAGTTGATGCATGTTTTTTGTAAAATACTTAGCCACTGGAATGGAAGAAGTCAAGTCGTTTAAACCTATCTTGTCTTTAGACATATTTTATTGTCTTATATTCTTGATAGGAGTCTGGCGTAAAATTGTTCCCCACCCACAGCTGGTCTTATTGGAATATTTTTCTGGCTTCATGGTTAGGTAGATTGTCATTGTTTCCTAAAGGCATGGCTTTTGTTCATATTATCAATCACTGGATTATCAGCCAAAACCTTACTGGCCATAATATAGTGGAATATAGTTGAGCATGGCATTAACCAACAATTTGAGATTTGATGGTACATTTTATATGTGATGATTCTTCCTTCCAGAACCACTTGTTGGGCCGAGCTTACTTCTGTCTGCTGGAAGGGGACAAGATGGATCAGGCAGATGCACAGTTCAACTTCGTGCTGAACCAGGTACACATCTTTGCAAATGCTTCCACTGAAATGTTAACCTGTGAAGATCTGGGTTAGAACTGATTTTCAGTAACCCATGCTTATTGTAGCGACTAACAGGGTTATAATTAGAATTTTGCTTCTTATATCTAACTATTTAAACCAGTCCTCAGATGTACACCGGAAATGGTGGTATTTGGTCTTACATATAGCCCACAGGTCACAATCGTAAGGAGCGACAAACGGGGTCCGGTGGTCATGCTTGCTGACTTGGTTGACACATGTCATCATATCCCAATTGCGTAGATTGATGTTCATGCTATTGATCACTGGATTGTCTGGTCCAGACTCGACTATTTGGGCATTGGGCATTCATCGCAAGTAAAGTGCAACAAAGTGTTTTGATAAATCATTCTGTTTTCAATTATAGTAAACTAAAACTGGCGTAGTCATTTTCTGTTTGTGATAGATATAGAAACCCTACATTGAGCAAAGTGACAGTTCACTATATTGTTTGTAATTTCCAGTCAAGTAACAACATCCCCTCACTGCTGGGCAAAGCCTGCATTGCCTTCAACAAGAAAGACTATCGAGGTGCCCTGGCGTATTACAAGAAAGCCCTGAGAACAAACCCCAACTGCCCTGCCTCAGTAAGACTGGGCATGGGGCACTGCTTTGTCAAACTCACCAGGTTGGAAAAAGCAAGGTCAGTATTGAAATAAGTTAAGTGTTGAACAACACTCATCCATGGCAGTTCTTTTCATATACTTTTTTCATAATTAATGCTATTAAATTGTATTCATGTGATTCATTTCTTTCTCTCTGTTGTAGAATGGCTTTTGAGCGAGCCCTGATGCTAGACGCCAACTGTGTAGGTGCGTTGGTTGGCCTGGCTATTCTGGAACTGAATGCCAAGACCCAGGATTCAATCAAGAATGGTGTACAGCTGCTCTCCAAGGCCTACACCATTGATTCCACCAACCCCATGGTCCTCAACCACCTTGCCAACCATTTTTTCTACAAGAAGGTAACGAAGTCATTACAGTTTTATTGGAAGTATCTTTGATAGTGAACCTTGGGGCATTGATGGGCTGGTGACGTAAGGCGCTGTTTGATTGTGACATACATACCTTTGAGTTATCTTCCTGTAGAGATGCTATGTGACTGTAAACAAAGATATTTATCACAATTGACTCGATATTTGCTAAAAGTGAATAAAACTGTTATTGAATAACAACCAGGCTCAGGATTTATAAGTACCAAAGGGGGAATGGTGTCAACCCAAACTTTTGTCGAGGGACTTGAACATTTATTTCAAGCAGACTGCTCTTTATCAATCAGACTCTCAGTATGGTGAGCTACTGACATCACGTCAGAGATAGCTAGATGGTGACTCTTTGAAAGGAATTTAGAATTGATGCATATAAGGGGAAAAGGTTTGGATGTCAGTTACTGTAATATGAATGCCTTTAAGACAGTATTATAGCTAGGTTTGTTCAACAAGTGGTATTATAGGTGCTTATTGTCTGTGACAGGATTACCAGAAAGTTCAGCACCTGGCACTGCATGCCTTTCACAACACAGAGAATGAGGCCATGAGAGCTGAGAGTTGTTACCAGCTGGCCAGAGCCTTCCATGTACAGGTCAGTGCATGCTGTGATTCATGCCAAAACAAAGTATTACCGATTAGTTCTGGAGATCTTAGAAATCTTATCCGTTATCTGGACTCTTCTGGGACCTAAATGTTACATTGTCTGTTATCATGTAATGGATATATTGCATTGAAATTTACTGTTTCACCATATGAAATTTAAAGACTTAAGGCTTATGAGTTAGAAAGATACGAGTCTAAAGGAATATGCTAGTAATGCTTGTCGGGGCGGTGGGGTAGCCTAATGGTTAAAGTGTTGACTCGTCACGCCGAAGACCCGGGTTCGAATCCCCACATGGGCACAATGTGTGAAGCCCATTTCTGGTGTCCCCCGCCGTGATGTTGCTGGAATATTGCTAAAAGCGGCTTAAAACCAAACTCAGTCAGTCAGTCAGTCAGTCAGTAATGTTTGTCTGTGATCTATCTGGGCCAGATATGTAATTAACCTATAAACCAGTTTCTCTGTGAAAGTGGGTAAAGTGTAACCTTGTGTTTTAGATGGTGAGTTTTATCCTTTAAGAGAAGGGTGTGGTTGTAGCCAGTGATTATACAGTAGGCAGGCTTTGTACACTGTGTGTGTTTGAGATGTGTCTTGTGGATGTTTCAGGGCGACTATGACCAGGCCTTCCAGTATTACTACCAGTCAACACAGTTCTCCCCTGGCAACTTTGTGCTGCCGTTCTTTGGACTTGGTCAGATGTACATCTACAGAGGAGATAACGACAATGTGAGCTTTGCATCTATTCCCATTCTTGTTCATGTCTTTGTATATTAGCTGCAGTATGTAAACTTTCTGAAGCCAGAGGTCCTTTTTTACAAAGTGATCTTAGCGCTACAATTGTCGTAGGTCTGTATTAAAGCATGGGAGTTACGATCACTTTAGCGCTACGACTGTCGTAAGTCTATGTTAAAGCATGGGAGCTACGATGGTATTAGCCCTATGTTTACTTTGTGGAACTTGGCACAGGTGTAGTCAAAGTCCTTCAAGTCTAGTGAGGTGAGGTGAAATTGGGTTTTACGTCGTGCTTGAGAATATTTCGCTCATATGACGACGTGCATGCGTGTGTATGTGTATGTGCGGCTGCTTGTACTAGCCCAGACTGAAGCTGGTTTTATAGTGCTAGCCCACTGAGATACCATGCCACAGTGAAGCATGAATACCCCACTCAGACACATTATACTGACTCCGAGCCGACCATTCCTTGTTGTATCCATTAATGCTGAGCGCCAGGCAGGGACCAACAAGTACCATATTTTAACATCTTTTGGTATGACGCGATCGGGGATCGAACCCCGCGACCTTCCGCTCTCTGGGCGGACGCTCTAGCCACTACACCACGGAGGCGGTCTCAAGTCTAGTGATATTAGCTTATACTAAGACTAAAATCAACTGAAAATAGCTTGACATACATGTTTGGGCGAGTACCCTTAAAAGTGTTTGGCACACACTGGTGTTGTAGTGATGTCTACACTGATAACCTTTAGTTATTTCAGAACTTGTCCCACCCTTCCAGCAACTCCCCATGGTCAAATTTGCTTAACTTGTCTCTTCACCTTATTTGTGATCTGTGAGTGAGTTTACTTTTCTTCCGCTCGCAGCAGTATTCGAGCTATATGGCAGCGGTCTGTAAATAATCAAGTCTGCACCAGACAATCCAGTTATCAACAGCATCAACACTGATCTACGCAATTGGGAACCGATAACATGTATCAACCAAGTCAGCAAGCCTGACCACCCGATCCAGTTAGTCACCCCTGTGACCTGTGGGCTATATATAGGACCTAATAACACCATTTCAGGTGTAAATCCGAACACTGGTTTGAATTGTTAGATATAAGAAGCAAAATTTTAATTATAATGATCTGATGTATTGATATGGAGGTTGCTGCATGGAGGGAGAGGTTTTAAGACCTTGATATGTTCCTAGGCCTCCCAGTGTTTTGAGAAGGTGCTGAAGGCCCAGCCCGGTAACTATGAGACCATGAAGATCCTGGGGTCACTGTATGCCAACTCCCCAGAGTCTGATCGCAGAGATACGGCAAAAGTGAGTTGTGAATAATATTGATGTAAGAAGTGACACTTTTAAAGAAAGATGCCCCATCAAATACCATAGAAAGCTTTGTGTTGTTGCAAGAATATAGTCCTATATCACTCAATGCTGCAAAATTTACAGTCTGTCTAGCAAGTTTCCTTTAAGTGTACTGAAGGCCAGGAAGAGGTGACATCAGTACATAGGGTAGTCATTGTAATTGTGTGTTTGCATCAGTGACTTTACCCAAGTAAGTGAAAGGGGGGATTTGTAGTTAGAATTGAAATCAACCTTCTCATGAGGATATCCTAACTGTTATTAGTTCAGCCAATATCCCAACAAGCTTTCAGTACATCCTTACTAGTTTCACAAATGATGTTGCTTGAAAATGAATAGATACCATCAACAACAATATTAAACTAGAGTCACAGTCAAGGTAACTAATATCCATGTGTAATCTTTGATTCTGTTTTCTGTCATAGTAATATAAACATTGTACTCTTCTTCTCAGCAACACTTGAAGAAGGTGACTGAACAGTTCCCGGATGATGTCGAAGCTTGGATTGAGCTGGCACAGATTCTTGAACAGTCAGACGTACAGGTCAGTTAATAACCATCATCCTAATCGTTTCTCCACCACCTCTGTGGCCTAATGAGTAATGAGAAAGCCAAAGGATAATGGATAGTGTCTGATGAGAAAGCCAAAGATAGTGGACAGTGTCTGATGAGAAAAACTGCTTGATGAGAAAGTCAAAGGATAGTGGATAGTGTCTGATGAGAAAACAGGTTAGTGTATAGTGTCTGATTAGAAAGTCTAAGGATAGTGTTTGATGAGAAAACCAAAGGATAGTGGATAGTGTTTGATGAGAAAGCCAAAGGATAGTGGATAGTGTCTGATGAGAAAGCCTAGGATAGTGACTAGTTTCTTGTGAGGAAGCAGAAGGCTAGTGGATAGTGTCTGATGATAAAGCCTAAGCATAGTGGATAGTGTCTGATGAGAAAGTCAAAAGATAGTGGATAGTGTCTGATAAAGCAAAAGGATAGTGGATACTGCTTGATGAGAAAGCCAAAGGATAGTGCATAGTGTGTGATGAGGAAGCCAACGGGTAGTGGATAGAGTCTGATGATAAAACAGGTTAGTGGATAGTGTCTGATGAGAAAGCCAAAGGATAGTGTCCGATGAGAAAGCCAAAGGATAGTGGATAGTGTCTGATAAAGCAAAAGGATAGTGGATAGTGTTTGATGAAAAAAACCCAAAGGATAATGTATAGTGTTTGATGAGAAAGCCAAAGGATAGTGGATAGTGTCTGATGAGAAAGTCAAAGGATAGTGATAGTGTCTGATTAGAAAGCCAAAGGATAGTGGATAGGTTCTGATGAGAAAACAGGTTAGTGGATAGTGTCTGATGAGAAAGCGAAAGGATCAGTGGACAGTGTCTGATGAGAAAGCCAAAGAAAGAGGATAGTATCTGATTAGAAAGCCAAAGGATAGTTGATAGTGTCTGATGAGAAACCAAAAGGATAGTGGATAGTATCTAATGAGAAAGCAGTAGGTTAGTGGATAGTCTGATGATAAAGCCTAAGAATAGTGGATAGTGTCTGATGAGAAAGCCAATGGGTAGTGGATAGTGTCTGATGAGAAAGCCAAAGGATAGTGGATAGTTTCCGATGAAAAAGCCAAATGATAGTGGAGAGTGTCTGATGAGAAGGCCAAATGATAGTGGATAGTGTCTGATGAGAAACCCAAAGGATAGAGGATAGTATCTGATGAGAAGGCCAAAGGATAGTTGATAGTGTCTGATGAGAAAGCAGAAGGCTAGTGCGTAGTGTCTGATGAGAAAGCAGAAGGCTAGTGCGTAGTGTCTGATGAGAAAGCAGAAGGCTAGTGCGTAGTGTCTGATGAGATAGCAGAAGGCTAGTGCGTAGTGTCTGATGAGATAGCAGAAGGCTAGTGCGTAGTGTCTGATGAGATAGCAAGGCTAGTGCATAATGTCTAATGAGAAAGTTAAAGGCTAGTGAATAGTAACTGATGGGAAAGCAGAAGGTTAGGGGTTAATCTTCTATCCTATCCAACCTATGTGTGTTGAACGAAAATAACTATTGTTTACTTTCCTAGTGCTGCTTGGTTCAGTCAGGTACTCACCAAAGCATCTCACTTCCATCACATATGGCTTTATTCATATTATCTGACACACAGAGATATAGTTTAAAATTTGTTTAACCCACTCGCAATCAACTAAAAATTTCATTAATGGAGTCAGTATGTGAATCATTTCAAAGGTATGCTTGCACAATTGAGAGGGAAACCATAACAGCTTATTATTTGAAAGAGTAGACATTTCTGACTTTTCTAACCATGAAAACCAGTAAATATGATGTCTGCCTCCCAGGGTGCATTGTCAGCATATGGAACAGCAACACGTATCCTGAAAGAGAAAGTTCAGGCTGATGTACCTCCTGAGATCCTCAACAATGTTGCTGCTCTGCATTTCAGACTTCGGCAACTACCAGGAGGCTAAGGTAACTATCGCAACTGATGTGGAACTTTGTTTTAGTCTATTTTATATACTACTGTGCTCTCCTCTTCAGATACTTTGCTAGAATTGAATGATTAAAAAAATGTCTGAAAAGGATATTGGCACTTGTATGGTATGGAAAGAGGTGATTAATTCAATCTTTATTTAGTTACGGAATTTATAAAAAACAAGATGGGTGGGAAGGATGCCTAAGACCTTTCGATTTCCTTCCTAAAATGTGTGAAGCCCATTTCCGGTGTCTCACACCAAGATATTGCATAGTTATTTCAGAAAGTGCTTCCACTTCTTTCTGCTTTGGTATTCAGAGAACTTATTCTTTTCTAACAATTCTTATGTATATGAATTTGTGTCATTAATCGTTATGTCGAAATCTACTCTCCTTTCATACAGAAATATTATGAAGCATCCTTAGAGAGATCTCGGAATGAGGCTCAACATGATGAAACGTACTACAGCGCGATCTCTGTGACAACCACATACAACCTGGCTCGACTGTATGAGGCCCTGAACGAGTATGACAAGGCAGACAAACTCTACAGGAACATCCTCCGAGAACATCCTAATTATGTGGACTGTAAGTGAATGATGACTAACATGGCTATTGCTTGTAAGTGGTGGCTATTGCTTGTAAGTGGTGGCTAAGTGGATTGGTCAGATATTGTGACTGTATATTTTTGTACCCCAGCTCCAAGGATGATCTCATGAAGTCCATTGATTTATCTGCCCAAGATTTGATTATTGAGAGGCTGGTGTGATATTGCTGGAATCTTGAGGACTACAAGTGGAAATAGTGAGTGAATTTAGTTTTATGCCGCACTCAGCAATATTCCAGCTACATGGCGGTCTGTAAATAATCGAGTCTGGACCAGACAATCCAGTGATCAACAACATGAGCATTGATCAAAGCAAATGGGATACGATGACGTGTCAACCAAGTCAGCAAGCCTGACTTCCTCTTAGTCGCCTCTTATGATAAGCATGGGTTACTGGGGATTAATTCTAACCCAGATATTCACGGGTTGCAAGTGTAAAGAAACTAACAAACTTGGGTCAGAATGTGTATGATACTGTTGAAAGTCTTTCATGACAATGGTGTCACCAAATTTTTAAACTTATCCTATCTCATGATTTGCACCTCTCTCTCTTGCTTCGAATTTTAGTTGAACGACTGTAAACTTTTTTCCATAGACCTCCTTGTCCATTCGCCCGTGCACTCCATGCTGTTCTCCTTAATTAGCTTCCTAGTTCCTAATAAAGCTTGCAGCATGCTCCACTAATTGCCCACGTGACTACCTTGAATGATCATTTTCTTTCTTGTCGCACGACTGTGTGGACATTAGGGACATTATTTCACCTTAACATCATGGGGTAAACTGATAATCAGTCAAGGAAAGTTTGTGCTCAATACAAGACAAATTATTCATCCCTCGACCCTCACTTGTTTTGCAGTGACTGTATTGGACAATGTAACTGGAACAAACGATGTGGCAAGTATAATTCACTAAAAGATGAGGATTTTAAGGCCTACCTTCGTGTTTGCTCCCGGAGAATCGCCGATAGGGACAGGAAATCAACAGAGTCGGATCCCACTCCCGCCAAGCGTATCAAGTTACAGCAACAGAAAATCGTACCTTCACGCAAGAGAGCGACGTCTGTGGTTCAAGAGGATTTTATGGACGCTTCATCAGTTTCTTACTTATCTGAGGACGTTCGGCATCTATTACGTACTCATCAATCACCTCCGTCAGATCACTCGCGGGTGGTTGTGATCAATAATTCTTTGTTGCCTGTCCCATCTACACTACCAGGGGACCTTAGATCGACACTATCATCATCCAGATCATACTCCGGTAGGCGGGAGATTGCAGATCTTCGCCACGAATTGGACCATCCTCAAAGATCCGTACGTCACCAACCTGCTACTTCACGGCGATCAGCTACCCGTTATTGGCAGTCCATCTCTGATGTCGCATCCAGCTCATCGCTCATATCCTGTGGACCAGCTTCAGACTCTGCAATTCACAATAGGTACGCTATTAGACAAACTTGCGATAGAGCTCCGAGCTCCATTGCCCGTCACTCCAGGATTCTACTCCCACATCTTCTTCGTTCCAAAGAAAAATTCCAACAAACTCCGGCTCATCTTCAATATGAAGTTGTTCAATGCCCGATTCCTGCTTCCACCGCCTCACTTCAGGATGGTGTCGATCAACCTTCTACGCGCCATCTTGAAGAAGGGAGACTTCCTCATCAGCCTAGATCTTCAGAATGCTTATCTTCACGTTCCGATACAAATTCAGAACACCGGAAGTACCTTCGCTTTGTGTTCAACGGGAATCACTACCAATGGAAAGTCCTACCATTTGGAATTTCCACGGCCCCAAGGCTTTTTACCTGAATTACCAAGCCCATAATGAGCTTCCTCCACTTTCAAGGGATCACCTTCGAAAGCTACATAGACAATTGCATCCAGGCTCAACAGGATCCGATCGTATTACTAAGAAACTCAAGGGTACTACGTTAGCTACCTACTTAGGGGCCATTAACTTGGTTTTGGCTACCACCATGGGCACGAAGATTTCCACTGTTCCCAAGTTGCAGAGTCTACTACGCTCCTATAGACTCTCTGACCAATCCAGGAAGTTTAGACCTCTTTCCTGGGATCTGTCCGTTGTCCTTCATCATATGATTTCTACAGATTATGAACCTTTAGAAGACAAGGACCCTCGAACAAGTGACATTCAAGACATTCTTCCTGGTAAACTACCGCTGCTCTTATATCTGAACTGCATGCGCTTGATGTCAATCGTGTGTGGTTCGAGCGGAAGAAGCATGGCAAAGCTTTCCTGGATCTCGGCTGGGACTTCATTGCGAAAAACTAACTGCCAGGGCAACCGGACCGGATGTTTACCATTCCCCCCGTTGTCCACCATTCTTGGGCCTGATGGTAATGAAGATTTGACACTCTGCCCTGTTAGGGCTCTACACGTTTACCTTGCTGCCTACCAAGGATCGTTGATGGCTATAGAAGCGCCTCTTCATACCCTTGTCGAACAGTTCAAGAACTGAGGTTTCCTGGACCACATTGGCCTTCTGGATGCGTGCCACGATCCTGCGTGCCTACACCTTTGCCGGGTTGCCTCCTCCAGCCGCTTCCAATCCTCATGACACTCGTGCACTAGCCTCGACGATGGCCCTCCATAGCAACTGCTCCTTGACCGCTATCATGGAAGGTTGCTTCTGGCGTTCTGATACAGTCTTCTCTTCACATTACCTGTGAGACCTGTCTGTCACGGATGTCCAGGGACGCAGATGAGGGACGGTTCCGCATTCGCGTTACTGCTTCCTTGTATATACTCAGTTGAACTGGATCTCAACCTTTTGTTCTCATTATATGGGTTTAAGAACTACTTCACTTGGCCTCCATACCAAGGCATCGGAATATGGCCACCTAGCATGGCCCTACGGACCTGAGGCACAATCAGTATGACGATGCAGAGGTGTTCGACATTTACGGAGCAATTACGTCAGTGAAGTGTGACACTCCCCCGAATTCCAGTGGATTTCGTTGCGTTCTGCCTCCAAAGTTGCCGGGCACATCCTTTGACTAAGCTTAGGCAAAGGAATGAGGGTCAATTTGATGCTGCCCGGAACTGAATGTTAAACCTTGGAGATGCCGAGTTGTGTTTCTCTTTCACCCGCCTCGGTCGGTGTCTGGGGGGCCTTCTTGAAGCAGGAGCTGGCCCGATTCTAGACTTTAATTACGGGGGTACCTTGTAAATCGTGGTGATGCGAGGCTTACTTGCCGTGTTGCGTCCCTTGTCTTGTACAAGGTTGTGGCCGAACACCACATCGCTCGGGAGCACCCATCTCCCTGGGAGTCGTTGTGCTTAGTAAGCCCAGGGGTTCCGGAGAACCCACTACAAGCATAGGAGTTGCGTGCATGCGTAACAGGCCTCCCTTCTACATCGCTATCTTACGGTTGTCATCAGTCCACACAGCTCCAAGACCAGCTGTTCGCACTGTCCAGAGAGAAGGGTAATCTGCGGCCCGCCGTCCAACCGTGGGATAAGTGCAAGTCGTGAGATAGGATAAGTTTAAAAATTTGGAAATTTTAATATAAGTTGTATATTTATATACTTATCCTATCTCACGCGATGGATGCCCGCCTGGCCTCCCCACTACTCAGATTACAACGTTGGCTCCAAGATGAGAATGATCATTCAAGGTAGTCACGTGGGCAATTAGTGGAGCATGCTGCAAGCTTTATTAGGAACTCGGAAGCTAATTAAGGAGAGCAGCATGGAGTGCAAGGGCGAATGGACAAGGAGGCCTATGGAAAAAAGTTTACAGCCATTCCACTAAAAGTCGAAGCAAGAGAGAGAGGTGCAAGTCGTGAGATAGGATAAATATATAAATATACAATTTATATTAAAATTTCCAATTTCTGAATATATAGCAAACTCATTGATTTCAACTTTGCATTTTATCACTATGTTGTGCGTTTCTTTTGACAGGTTATTTGCGACTGGGCTGCATGGCTCGAGACAGAGGTCAGATCTACGAGGCATCAGATTGGTTTAAGGAAGCCTTACAGATTAATCAGGTGAATGACCCAGTGTAAATGCATTTTCATCTCAGTTCCAGCAGGTTTTGATGTTGATTCTACAGATTAATTAGGTGACAGTGAATGGCACAAATATTATTATCCCCCGCAAAGCGTTTTGCAGGGGGTATTAAAATGGACTCCGTCTGTGCGTGCGTGTGTCCATCCGTGCACATTTGTCTTTTCCGGAGCAAAACTCTAAAACCGTTCAATATTTCTTCACCAAACTTGGCACATACATGGATCTGGTGGTGTACTGGTTCCTTTTGGTAGTTTTGGAATTCTGAATTAAATATATTTTTCCTTATCCTGACTCATGCTCTTTTGCTTGTCTTCTTCTTCTTGCGAACATAGTGGAACACTTGTATCTCCTTATTTGAAGCTCCCTTCAAAATAAAATCACTAATTGGTACTCACCACGAGTTGCTCCCCTTTGTTTCCCCTGGCGGGAAAGGTGTCGCCACCCTCTGGCCATGTGCTTCACTCTCTCCTTCTTCGCCCAGTGAGCAGGATGTGAGAGCGCCTCGTGTCTCCTTACACACCATATCCTTTGATAATCTCTTAGTTTTTACCTCTCATAGGTTTCTATAGAGGTATAGCTAGTATCCTTTACTATTTGTATTGATTAATTATCGATTTCTACTGTTTATTCACGGTATTCGTGATTGTTCAGCTAGCTTTACGCTGATGAAAATCTGTACGATTTGTAGATTACGCTTTTTCTGCCTCCGATCCACATGTAATATGCCCTAGTTGTTCTACTGCGTGTGCGCTTAATTCACGCTTGCAGTTACTGCATTAATTTATCTCATTCTGCATTTAATAAATATCATCTTTTGTGCCTTTAAGACGCTGCAGATAGATCACGCAAACAAGGGCAAAACATGGCAGAGAGTCCAGATATTCCATCCAGTCAGCTGCTAGCGATCGAATCTCTCCCGCCTGGTGTTCTGCTAGAGACCCTTCGGTAGAGGAACGCGGGACGCAGTCCGCTACTCGAAGAAACGACCGCCTCCCCAGACATCCCGGCCATTGCAGACCAAGTCTAAGAGGGCCTCATCGCCGCCTCAACGCAGATTGAGGACACTCCAGGGCAGCGCAGACTTCCAAAGGGAAATTCCACGAAGACAGCAAGAACTTTCAGCCGAGATCGCTCCAGCAGCAGAATTGGGCCTCTACGATGATCAGCCGATAATCATCCCCGACTTACGCAGAAGAAGCGACCGTGTCAGCGACTGTGACTTCTGCAGAGATCACCATGCAGCCTGATGCTCTCTACACCGACGCCAGACGCCATTGATGTGAACCCCATCGCAGAAAAGATTTAATTTAATTTCGGCACAGATCATCCCAGAAGACATGATGCGCAGATTATGAACATCATGGAGGACCACTACAAACCGCGCAAGCAGGGTCCGAAGTTTTCGGGAAGGCTCCAACGAGACAGCACCCCAGAGGCACCCCCGCCAACGAAAGCAGCCAAGACGATGTCACCTTTCAAGGAAGTCCCGCACCACCTTGACGAAGGACCTAGATGTACAGCTCTTCGCGAAGGCCTTCGCGAAGGCGGAGAGATCATCACCATCTTCGATTTCATCTCTAGATATGGACTCAGACCATCAGACATCACGGAGGCCTTCGCGAAGGTCATATCATCGATCCCCCGACCGACGAATGAAGCTTCGCTAAGGCATTCGCGAAGGACATATGATTCCAGATCCTCATCATCTAGAAGAACATCGAGGGACTGCCGAAGAGCTTCGCAAGCTATCAACATTCACCTCACAAGTCTCCGAAGATCATCCCATAGACGATCTCCACTTCGCTTCATCACCAGGTCGATCACCCGCCAGATCTCCACATAGAGCGGCGACAAGTCAACTAGATCGCCACAAACCTCATCAGATATACAGACAGCTACACGCAGTCCCTAAGAGCATCTACAATTTGTTAATGATGATGGTTTTGAGGATGATGGAGGAATCATATTTTCTGATGCAGAGATACGGTATTGATGGTCAATAACCTAGATCTCACATCACCATCTAAAAGTGGCAATACAGCGCAGACGATTTGATGAAGGAAGATGATCCAGATGCAATCACTCTACCCCGATCGACCCGATTATGCAGTGCCACAGAATCTAGATGCAGCTTTCCAGAAAGCTACGAAAGTTCAGACACCACATCTGCCCAACTTTCAAGCCAAGAAGTTCTCCACGATAACATGGACTCCTTCTACAAGGCCCAGGACATCGATGAGAACTATAAGATCATCAGCTTATGTAAAGAACAAGATTTACAAGATGGATGATCGCAAGTTGGCTCATATAGAAACCATGACGAGACGATGTTCTTTGGGTTAAATAGATCTAGGACGATCAATGAGACTCTTATTACTAGATTCCGGATTCCACGACGGAAGATGATAGAATGATTTATTCTGCCTTACTTATGCAAAAGAAAGATCAGCAGTTTTAACGGATCATCTTACATCTGTTTCAGCAGCACTGACCTTAGCTCGTCCGTCAAGGCCTCCTCGCCTCCTGTAATTGGGGAGAACTTTACAGCCCCACTTTATACAGCCCCGTGGTCGACAACATCCATCTTTGACGGAGAAATCGACAAAGTCGCCAAGGAAGTCTCTAAGGATTCCAGGGAAGTCCTTATGATTAGATCGATGGACACACTAGCCAGCCGCCATTCGCCAGACTTCACAAAGATACTCAGGCAGATCTAAGTTCACGGGCCTACAAAGAGCAAGAGACAGGAAGATAGCCAGCTCTAGAGGTAAGATTCTTTCGTCGCCCATATGGCAACTATAGAGGAGGATCAGGAAGAGGCAGGACACCCAGAGGTTCCCGCAATTATAGACGCTGAAACACAGGTTCGAACGACTGGAGTCTTCCACCCCAGCCGCTCCAGTACAGCCAGCTCAAGTGGGTGGACGCTTCCAACTACACTGGGAAAACTGGGGAATATTGCAAGACCCTTACGCCTCCAACATTCTTCAACACGGATTTCAGATCCCTCTACAGGCTAAGCCTCCGCTGACAATCAAACCCCCAAGTTCGATTTACAAGCGCAACAACTACCAAAGATAAGAGAGGCTGTTTCATCACTCCTATCCAAACAGGCCATAGAAGTAATAGATCAAGCAAACGCCGAACCAGGTTTCTACTCCCCAGTTTTCCTAGTTCCCAAGAAAACTCCACGGAGAAATACAGACTCATCTACAACATGAGCTTTTTCAACAAGAACTATCTACGAAACCATCGGGTTTCAAGATGATACATTTACCCTCAGTTACGCCAGATGATTCGGCCCTATGGACTACATGGGCAGCATAGATCTACAGGATGCCTACCTGCACATCCCCATTCATCCCGATTCCAGGAAATACCTACGATTTACTCTAGAAGGGCTACATTACCAGTGGAAAGTAATTCCCATTCGAATATCATCAGCCCCTGGCTATTCACGAGGATAACTAAACCGATTATCAAATTTCTACATCGGGCAAGGGCTACGCGAGCGCTTTACCTCGACGACGTGGATACAAGTAGATCAAGATCCACCGCGCCTCAAACTACAGTTAAATTACATCATAAAGCTACTAACACAACTAGGTTGGTTAGTAAACTTACGCAAGTCGGACCTAGTACCATCGCGCAAGACCTGCAGTTCCTAGGTATTCGATTCATCACAAATCGCAACCGTGATTATGGTACCAGAAGACCGCTATTCAAGATACAGCAGACCATTCCACCAGCTCTACTCTCTCCGCTACTACTCGCGACAATGGCAGAGCCTACTAGGTCTTCTCACATCAGCCCAAGACATGACTGTCACAGGCAGATTACAGTTACGCCCCTACAGGTCTCATCAACGACATCTCAACGATGTACAACCATTCAGTCTACCACCAAACATCTCAGACCGCATCTACTATGGTGGACCAAGAAATCGAATGTCTGCGAAGGGATTTGTTTAGCAGAGCAGGAATACAAAACCCATCTGTATGTAGACGCTGTTACTCCAAGGTTGGGGAGCTCATCTCACCAACCACACGATATCAGGATTATGGAATCAGCAAGAATGCAAACTCCATATAAACAGTCTAGAAATGAAAGCTGTAATCAACGCCATTCTACATTGGAGCACATTTCTACAAAAAAATGCTACTTAATGATCCATACAGACAATTCGACAGTGGCGTTTCTACATAAACAAGCAAGGCTCAACGAGATCGATGAACCTTTTGAACCTAAGCTTTCAACTGTTCGATTTAATACAAGATCTAAATCTACATGTCAGAGCAGTGCACATTCCCGAGCCAGAAATATACTAGCAGACGCTTCTCTCGCCTCATCTACCATCACCGACAGAGTGGATGATCAACAGGGAAATTTTGCACAGATAATCAAGCAATTAGGAGCCGCTAATAGACCTATTATTCGCCACGCCGATTCAACAATCAGCTACCGACATTCGTGGTCACCAGTCCCAGACCCCAAGCTTGGGCAACGGATTTAAGTCTATCATGGAAGGCCTCAACGCGACGCTTCCGCCAGCCAGCAATAATACCTCAAGTATTACAGAAAATCAGACAAACACAGAGCCTACAACTCACTTTGGTCGCTACTCTACTGGTCGGGCCAGAACGTGGTTTCCCATACTAATTCAAGAAATCGGTCAACCAACACTGGAGCTACCCAAGCGCCAAAACCTGTTAATTCATCCTCACACCAAACAAGTGCACGGAAACCCAGCAATGTTCCAACTACACGTATGGACTGTATACAAATGTGTTTAAACAAGAGAGGATATTCTGCCAGGGCGGCAAAAGCAGTCACGCTTTGCCTTTACGCTACTCAACTCGAACTTGTAATGACGACAAGTGGCACAGTTTCAAAATTATGCAACAAAGAAAGGGTTTACAGCAAGAGAGGCTTCACAACCTCAAGTGGCAGACTATTTGTGTTACCTACCAAAACAAACATTTAAAAGGTTCAACGATATCAACATATCTTGCCGCTTTAGTTCTGTAATCACCATGAGAACGGGTGTCAAATTGACAAGATCTCCAGAGTTACTGGCCTTACTACGAAGCCCGATTGAGGACCAAAAGCGAAGTTCCACTTCCAGCTTGGGATCTGAATGTAGTGTTACAACACCTCACGAAAGTGAGGTCTATGAACCTTTGGAATCGACAAACTTTGAATTTCTCTCACAGAAAACACTGTTTCTGCTATCGCTAGCCACAGCAGCAAGAATGTCTGAAATTCACGCCTGGATTACGAGAGGATACAGTTTGATGACAATCATAACACAGCACTCCTCGGATTAAGATGGGATTTCATCGCGAAAAATCAACTGCCAGGTCAACCAGACAGATTATTCCACATCCCGGCGCTTATCCTCTATTCTCGATCACAAGATACACAAGACCTATCACTGTGTCCGTAAGAGCCAAAGTTTATTTTACGATTCCATCCAAAACAAGGAGAAGATTTCTCAAACGCTTATTCATCCCCTTATCGCCTACTTAATCAAACAGAAGTGTCACGGACCACAATATCTATTTGGATAAGGACTGTCATTCTCCGCGGCCTACAAGGCAGCAGGCTTGGACCCACCAACAGCATCAAATCCACATGAGATCAGGGCACTGGCCTCTACCCTCGCCTCTACACGGTAACTGTTCCTTGAACACGATTATGGAAGGATGCTATTGGAAATCTAACATGGTATTTGCTAATCACTACCTGAGAGACATCACTACAGAAGATGTCTCTGGCATTCACCATTTCGACCACTGGTCCTCGCCAGCAACTGACAGTCCCTCAGAGGGCTTAAAATATTATCCTCACAAGATTAATATGTATTTTATACATACTCATCTAGCTTATAACTCCCACGGAGTTTTAGGGCTATGTATATATGTTCAGCTTAAGTATTCAACCTTAAGCATATACTTTGGTATAGTCAATTTCAGTGCCTCTATCAGAGTCACCTATATATATATATATAATTTATATGTATTGTTCAATATATTCATAATGTAATTCCCTTTAATGGCTTTATATAACCTATGGTTTTCTTTATACAGGAAACATCCTAAATCTAAGCCTTCATGAAGTTCCGTGAGGGGATATTACAGTATATCTATACAAAATCACTAATTATAAATCCAAAGTATTCTGTTACCCACCTCCGCCTGTAGGATGCTACAAGCAAAAGAGCATGAGTCAGGATAAGGAAAAATATGTAATTTTTAGAGTAAAATTGATATTTTATACTTATCCTGACTCATGAGGTTAGCCCTCCCATCCATCCCCCCCACATAACACTTTGGATTTCCTGTAAATTCAAGTGTTGGGCTCGCTAAATCAGGAGAGAGTGGAGCACATGGCCAGAGGGTGGCTTACACCTTTCCCGCCAGGGGAAACAAAGGGGAGCAACTCGTGGTGAGTACCAATTAGTGATTTTATTTTGAAGGGAGCTTCAAATAAGGAGATACAAGTGTTCCACTATGTTCAAGCAAGAAGAAGAAGACAAGCAAAAGAGCATGAGTCAGGATAAGTATAAAATATCAATTTTACTCTAAAAAAATTACATTTAACACCTAAATATTTGACATAATCATAACTCGTAGACATAATCATGAAGAGTATTTTGCCATTGCGGGGGATATTGATGACTTTGTCTTCTTGTTTCATTTTCATTTCATTAGTTCCAGTTTTGGTATTGATTCTAAAACAGTCATGAAGTTTAAACATGTTGGAACTAAAACTACATGGTGCTCTTTTTGTAATAGTTGATCATCCACAGTATTTTCAGTATTTACATGTTTAACTTATACTTGCCTCTGAAAGATAGCAGCAGTTGTATGCAGCTTAACATACACGTGAAGATCAGGGTTAGAAATGATCTTCAGTAACCCATGCTTGTCTGATGGGATCAGGTGGTCAGACTTGCTGACTTGGTTGACACATGTAATCGTATCCCAGTTGTGTAGATCGATGCTCATGCTGTTGACCACTGGTCCAGACTCGATTATTTACAGACCACCGCCATATAGCTTGAATATTGCTGAGTGTGGCGTTAAACAAGAAAACAACCAAATATACATCTGAACAAGAATCTGAAACATGTGATACAAGTACGGTTGTGATCAAGAATCAGAAACAAGTACGGTTGTGATGAATTATTTTATGAAGTAGTGCTTTTTGAAAGAGATGCTGTGTGGAGTAGATGGACATGATTACTGACTTGGTTTATTCCCTGATGTTGATAGTAAGAACTGTTAATCTCATTCAGGATCATCCTGATGCTTGGTCGTTGATCGGCAACCTCCATTTGGCGAAACAAGAGTGGGGTCCTGGACAGAAGAAGTTTGAGCGTATCCTGCAACGTCCTGGTACAAAGGATGATGCCTACTCTCTGATCGCCCTTGGCAACGTGTGGTTGCAGACTCTTCATCAACCGATGAGAGATAAGGAGAAGGTAGGACCCATAACCTTAACATAGTGTTTAGATCGCCTGTAACTCTTCCTTGTCACTGAAGACCTGTGATGATCCGTGTTAGAATTGATTTTCAGTAGCCCATGCTTGTCTTAAGAAGCGATCAGAATCGGGTGGTCAGACTCTCTGACTTGGAGACCGCCTCCGTGGTGTAGTGGTTAGAGCGTCTGCCCGGAGAGCTGAAGGTGGCGGGTTCGATCCCTGACCGCGTCATACCAAAAGATGTTAAAATATGGTACTTGTTGGTCCCTGCCTGGCGCTTGGCATTAATGGGTACAGCAAGGACTGGTCGGCTCAGAGTCAGTATAATGTGTCTGAGTGGGGTGTTCATGCTTCACTGCTGCATGGTATCTCAGTGGGCAAGCACTATAAAACCAGCTTCAGTCTGGGCTAGTACAAGCAGCCGCACATACACATACACACGCATGCACGTCGTCATATGAGCGAAATATTCTCAAGCACGACGTTAAACCCAATTTCACCTCACCTCACCTCACCTCTGACTTGGTTGACACGTCAATTCTAATTGTGTAGAGCGATGATTATGTTGTTGATCAGTGGCTTGTCTGGCCCAGACTTGATTATTTACAGACCGCTGCCATATAGCTGGAATATTGCTGAGTACAGCGTTAAACAACCAACCAACCAGCCTTGTCATTGATTAGGGTGGTTCAGGACTTGGTGTATGCTTGTCGTAAGAGATGACAAAGTGACCTGGTTTATTACATGTAACTGCATTTCAAGTACATGGATTAAATTAATAATGCTCATGATGTCAATCACTGGCTCATGTGGTCTGAATGACCACTAACATAAAGCTGGAATAATACCCCACTGTCCAAGATATGCTATGTACATGATGTCACTACGGAACTGAAACTCAATCTATGTTGACTCCAGGAAAAGCGGCACCAAGACCGAGCACTGGCGATGTACAAGCAAGTCATGAGGAATGACGCTCGCAACATCTGGGCTGCTAATGGCATTGGTGAGTAGCACTGCATGTATCTCCATATTCCTCATGAGAATAATGCTGGTGGGCCTTGTCTGATTTGGGCCTTATCTGTTGAAGAAGAAGGTCATTTTACGAGAGAAAGAGTGAGTTCCCAGAACAATTGTTGTTTTTTCGTGTTCAATACATACGGTCCAAATGCACTTTATGATGTACCATTTTTACGACACAGACTGTCTTAATCTAACTCTTTAATCCAACCTTGAGGTTTCCTCCACCTGACGCCGAAGACCCGGGTTCAAATCCCCACATGGGTACAATGTGTGAAGCCCATTTCTGGTGTTCCCCTCCGTGATGTTGCTGGAATATTGCTAAAAGCAGCATAAAACCAAACTCAGTCAGTCAGTCCTCCACCTGACATCAATAAATTGTCAGGTTCTGATACTATAATGTCACAAATTTATAGATTTAGTTAAAAGGGAACCTAAATAAGTGTCCTAAATCTGGAAGGATCCGAGGCCTGGAAAATATATGGAAAAAGATGCAGCCATGTGATACAGAAATCAGAGTACAATACAGAATCGGCCTAGGTTCACTGTATTAAATGGGTATGTAATGAGTTGTGACCTGAATGACTGTGTCAGAGTACCCTGTCCACATTGATCATTTGCTCATGCTATCAACCAGTGGTGTCTCTTGCACGTCTGGTCAATACTTGGTTATGCACAGACTACAAGATATGTTGTAGCATTGTGATGAGGGGTATACAGGGTCTTAGGCAGCCCATGTTTTAGAACCGAACGAGGAATGCATAAAACCCTGTATACCCCAAATCATAATGCTACAGTGAATTTATCTTAAAACAAACTGAAATTCAATCATATATTAAAATTCTTATATTGACATGGTACTAACTGGTCGATCTGAACCACTGGTTCACAGTTCACTGACTGCCATGGATGCATGCTTTTTCCATGGGGCGGCGTATAAATGATTTATTCTCTCTCACAAACATTTATACCCTGCTTGGGCGATGTATAGCATGCACCGGGCATACATGGTGTTCAAGGTCATGTGAAACAATCAGGGATGGACTTTCTTCTTAGGATAATGATATTGTTGGCCTGCAGTGTAAGACAACCACCTCAACATCTTTCACTCACGCATTGAAGGAGATGATTCCATGTATGTGAACATGTCTGTTGCATTCATTTACCAGTTTCTGAATTATGTATATTGTAAACCAAGACAAATGAAAGACATAACTATTTATTGACAGAACATGATTTATTTGTCAAACAATATTTGTACCCACAAAACAAATCTGAAATATAGCACTATGTATTGAAATAGGGATGATTCCATACTTTGGCTGTCCTCTTAAACACAGACGTCTTCCCAGTAGCACAACCAGAGTCTCAGACGTTATATTGCAGACTCCACATATAAATATAAATATAAATATAATAGCACTGTTTACATGGAAGGTTGTCATACTTTGGGATGTCCTTTGAACCCCTGGGGTCGGTGTTCATACAGACTTCATATGTAGTATAACTTATTCAGGTGATAGGACTCTTGGTATTTCACATCTGAAATATCCCAGACAGGAACTCTTCACACTGTTTGGCAGCAACTACAGCTTTGACAGATCTGGGTTTCCTGGTCCTGTGTCTTTTGTTGGAAAACCACTTTCGTACTTGAGAAAGGATAATTCCCCCCTTGTTGGCCATGTCTTCAGCTTCTGTTCGAGTGGGATAGGGATTGTTGAGATGCTCGTGGTACCACTTCTCCATCAAGATGATTGATTCAGGACTGAGGTTTCTGCTGGCCATCATCTTGCATTGGTTCTGCAGGATGTTCAGACTTTTATCGATGCTTGTGAACACCAGGTGCAGTTGATCATTGTATCTGTTTGTCAGCCAATTGTGATAGTCCGTTGGGAAGAATCCATCTTGTAAACACTGCTGATGTTCCTTCTGAATAGATGAGGAATGGAAGGCAAGGAAGCTGGATAGTTCCTTTACCTCTGTTGGGAACCTTGACTTGAGTGACTCAAGTCTGTCCTCAAGAGCTGATTGAAGATCAAGGGAAAGACTGTTTTTAGTCTTTGTCTCTGGATCTGTTCCAAAGGTCTTGGAGATAGTGTCATCCAAAGCTTTACCAGTGTCAGGCTTGGGGCAAGACTGCAGTTTGAAGTCAAGTGGACGAGTCTCTGTGATTGGACTGTTGTCCACTGATCTTGGAAGTTGCAGTGGGGGTGTCACTCCTTGAGCTGGTGGACTCTGGGTGGTAGGAAATAACATTTGCTTGAATGCAACTGAGTATGTACTTGTCCTTGGTTGTGTGGGAGGTAGTACGGCTGGTATGCTGGAAAACCCAACAGGATGAGTTGAGGTTACAAAGGATGGACTTGGTGGCAGGAAGCATGGACTCGGTGGTGGGAAGGATGGACTCGGTGGCAGGAATGATGGACATGGTGGTATATTGTAGCTGGAACCTGTGCAGGTACCTGGTCCGAAGCTGGGAGTGTAGTACATGGCAGAACAGGAAGGGAAGAAGCTGTAGGGACTGGAGATGCAGGTTGGGTGGCGGTAGGACGGGGATGACATCGGGTGGAGGCTGGAGAGAGTTGGCACATGATGGTTTGTATCAGGCACTGGTATTGTCAGGGATGGCACTGCACGTCTCTTGGGGAGAGGAGTTGATGTGTGCTGAGGAGCTCCTGAAATAGACATTATGATATTTACTGTAATCACAGCTATAGATCTGGCATAGACATCAAACAAGGACTATTTGAAGAATTGAAACTATCATTTTTTAGCACAATTTGGTATTCAGGAACTGGATGTGGTGCTATGTGCAACAAGTGGAGAGAATTCAGCTTACCAATGCTAGAAGTGATTGTGGCTTCATCAACAGGAATAATGTCGTCAGCCATCTTGGATTTGAGAACAGCTCAGTGTTCTGGTTCTGAAGTAACTGGCTAGTGGGTGACTCAGTGAGTGAGATGTGCTCACCTTCCATCTGTACACTTATATACTCTACTCACCTCTCTGGCTTCATCACCTTCAGCTTCACTGGCTGCAAGGTCTCTTTGATCCATGGCTTCCCTTAAAACTACACATTGATTAGCTGTGACCAAGCTTATATCTTGGGTATTACTAGCAGTATATTGAATAAACTCAATCAGTGATTTCTGATTGGCTGTTGGTCAGGTTTAACAGACCAGAGGCCACACTCACCTCTTGTTTTAGTTGATGCTTAACAATGTTGTTAGAGGTGATAGGTGTTGTGATAGTGTTTAAAACAAATGCAGAAGAACCAATCACAGAGACATGGGATCAAAGGGATTAATGCAGGTGTGATTAATCAGAAACAAGCACAGGTGTTTTTGTACCTCAGCTGCTGTGTTGGTTAGATTAAGGAAATCTGGATTCTTTCCTTATCATGTTAAATTTAGCCTCTACCATGTTTACAGCCTAATTATATTTATCTTTGGATAGCTAATTGAGTTGATACGTAATACTTTAATATTGTAAGTTTTGCCACTACTATAGTGTTTTTTGGTTGCTGTCTTGTTTTCAACCTTAGAATTTGCCCCCTGCATAAAACCTTGCTTGATAAGAACAATACTGGTAACTTTATATCTTCATCCAATTTGAAGTAGCTTGTGCTGCTCAACATGGTAACTCTTCAGATAGGAAGTCAAGTTAACCAGTGTACATTGTATATGCGATATGTAAAGTGTATACTATCAAGAAAAAACCAATATATTCATGCCTAACAACCAGGGCCTAGATTTTCGAAGCTCTCTTTGCGCTAAGATAGTCGTAAGTTAATGTTAATGTGTGGCACTTAAGACTATCTTAGTGCTTAGATTGCTTCGAAAATGTTGGCCCAGACAACCAGCTGTTTGTGTTAAAATAGCAGATATGTTTTCACCTTTATTAATTTGTTCTAATATCTATTTCCTTTACATTGTTGTACAATCACAGTATAAAACAATGCATATATGAGTTGTGCTCATGTAAATACCTTAAAACACAGACATTGCTCTTAATATCAAACAGATTAACATTTTACAGGTTATTCTAGAATACAGGCTTTGACTACCATTTGATCAGGCCTAAAAGAAATATGTGGTGGTTCCGATTACCCAACTGACCCTTGAATTCTGGTGCCTATCCTATTTTTTAAGCGGTATGAATAAAATAAGATTTCAGATACCTTGGTGTTTCCCTGGCACCAGTCTGATAAAGAAAGTTGATATGATGGCTGCAAGCTTGATTGAATAAACAATCACACATTGATAAATGTGCTATTAGTTCGTACATTACTTCTAAAAAAATGTATTAAAAAAATCCAACCTACCTACCCTAAATTTTAGAGAGGTATAACCACAAGGTTTTTTTTATATTTGGCCTCACCATCATGCATCTGTTTTGTTGTTCAATGTGTAGACATTATCATAAGCAACTAAACTCGGAAATAGTCAACTATGCAAACTTGGAGTACCTTCATCATTTCATTTCTGTATCATGTAAGTGTTCATTGTATATGTGGACGTACCTCAGTAATGCATTGTAATAATTTATTCAAGATTTCCTTCAATATTCTTTATATTAAGTTTGTCAAAATCATGTGTGGGCAGATTGCTCCACTTCACCACAAACTCTCCTTGAAATGAAAGATAGTTGTAAGAGATATAGTCTCCCTAAAACTGTCTCCTAATTGTTTTCCCTTTTGTTTTAACTGTGCTTTTGATCACGAAAAGTATTTTCAAAATTACACCACCCACAGATTGGAAAAACAGCTGATTGCAATGTCCAGCTATTTTATGAGGCAAATACACACTTAATGTTAATTTCAGTGTATGAAAAAGTACTGGAATTCAGTATCCTCGAGTCATCTGTTTTCGTTCAACATCTGTTTTCGGTTCGCCTTTTGCGTGTTCATTTCTCGCGGTTATTAGCGAGATATTACGTCACCAGACAGGTTAATTTTATCAGGATGTCGACTGCTTCAGCTCTGAC